TAAAATTTGTTTAGGGGTGGCTGAAAAACAGCGTTGGTTCAGGTCTAGGCTTGACCAACAGTGGCTGAGCCATTCCCTATTGTCTTATTTTTAATGAAATTTTATTTAAATATCTGTTAACATGTAAAAAAAAGACAATAAATTATAAAGAAAGGTTTACTAGAAAAAAATCCACGCTGACCAGGCAGCGGACGGGACTCGAACCCGCATCCTTCGCTATCCGGGCGAATGCACTGACCATTATGCTACCACAGCCCTATTAGCCGCGTCGAAATTTTCCTAGCCTTAAGCTGCAAGGCAGCGCCATCTCTTCGCATTGTAGGTAACCTACAATGTCAAATGAATACTTTTTCAAGTATTAAACATTTGAAAGAAGAAATAGCAATTATAGTTGTGATTTTATTTATTTTTTAAGTATTTAACTGCAAGATGTTTAAATCTAAAGAAAGGTTTACTAGAAAAACCGTAGTTTAATAGGGCCGTGGTAGCATAATGGTCAGTGCATTCGTCCGGATAGCGAAGGATGCGGGTTCGAGTCCCGTCCGCTGCATCGTCCGCGTGGTTTTTTTTGTAGTAAACTTTTGTTTAGATTTAAACATCTAGCAGTTAAATGCTTAAAAAATAAATAAAATCATAACAATAAATTATTATTATTATTATATTAAGTATTTTTGAACTTGAGGACTTTGTAAATAATAAAACAGGGAGATAAAAACAGCTCTTACTGAGTTTCTTGCCGGTTCTTCTCAGTACAAGGTCTCCCGCCGTAGATTTATGAACCGATGCTTTGTCGTGGTACACGACTTTTCTTTGAAGACGTGACGTCACGCAAATAGTATGTCAACAATAAGTACATAAATCATGAAATAATAGGTAGCACAATTTAACAACCATTAATTACGATCGAACATACATCCTTGATTACGTTTCGTCTTGTAATTCATTCCTGGAATCATTGCTGTGTCTGAAAACACGATCATAAATAATATTTCATTGTAAAAAGTGTTTATCGTAATACCTTTATAAATACCGAACCAAATTAAGATTTAATGGTATCATTGCATTCAGAAAATTATTCTCATTCCATTTTACGGTTGTTTTCAATAAATATGAAAATCACATTTTCAAAAAAAGAAAAAAAGAAAACGAAACGTCATGTGAAGTCATGTGTGCCTGCGCGCATGAGAGACTTTGTCGATGCAATTGGCGTCTTGCTGGACAATCGCCCGGTGACACTCCGACGAGAAGGCTGTATCGCTCGTCACCAAATCAGTCCGCGGATATAGAACGTTCTAGTGGCACCATGCTTGGTCGGCCGTTTATCGAACCCGGGGGATGAGATTGGCACTCCGCCATGCCCTTTAGTAGATAGTTTTTATGGCCTTCTGCCCTTATTAGATATTTTATAGTAGTATTATAATAATATAGTAGTTCATGTAAGTGAATCATAATCTCGCGGCGCTCCGTGCGCGTGGTGTGACATGGGGTCACCCACACCCGATTCTTCGAGTCTTCAACTTCACCGATGGGCTCAAGTGCTCATGAGCTCCTTCCGCCTGCGTGCTTGCTGCTGAGGACTGCGGCGTCAGCCCGTAGACCCCTACCATCAGGGTGCAGCTCGCTGTGACGTCAAGGGTTGGCTTCCTGAGGCATCACCGTCATCGTCGCCTCGCCCAACGAGTGAACGTGGTACCACCAGTGATTTGTGTCAAACCGTGAGCTCACGTAGTTTCCCCTTTTGTTTTTTTTTTCGCGAGTGCACGCGGGTCATTCCCCATCGCCACGTGTCCCATCTGGACTTTAATGACTTTTAGGGGTCAATATATTATTACTTACCATCATCGGTAGTATATTTTAAGAACAATTGTTTCGCTGCGGGCCGCCGCCATGTAATCCGCGAGAGTAATTAATATAAATTAAATGTACTAAAATCCGCCATCTTTGATTTGAATTCCCACGCTACGGTCCTTGTATTCCAATAGTTCATTGCTGTAACCGAGAGTTTTATCCCGGTACCTTATTAGCTGAAATAACACTTGCTCGTATGAAAGGAGGTTCCGTACCATCAAATAGTAAGTAAAGTATAATAATATAAATATAGTAAAATATTTCCATTCCATTCTTGTTCTCTTGCATACAACGTACTGAACCGATTATAAATTCCATTTTCCCTCTTTTACATACGACAGCTTGTAACAGCCTAAACTGAATAAATGATTTTGATTATGATTATTAGGATTATCTGGAGAAGAAGTCTCCATCTCACCCTACAGGAGATCACACTGCAAAAACTCTACCTTTTAGTGATATAGTTTACTATAAGCAACGATGTAATTGTGAATTGTCTCCTGTGTCACCTTCATTTTGTAATCAGTTTGCAGTGTCCTACTAACCTTAATTTGGTAGTCATGCTCTCTTAAAAATGTCTTCGGTGGTGTCGTGTGAGTCGAATCGTTAAATTTCCTAAAATATGGTCAAGAGAGCCAAAGAGTTCACAAGCATGCCAGCCATCGCTTGACATAATTTGTATTTATACTGTATGACACAACAAATAAAATGCTAGTCCACGATAGTGAAGTTGAATGAATGTATCTAATTAATTAAATAAATAAATATAAATGTTTCCAACACTCACACCAATTTGCCTAGCCCCAAAGTAAGCACTAAGGCTTGTGTTATGGGATACTAGGGTAACGGATAGAATACATATATTGTACATATATTATAATTATATTTATATAGAAATACATATTAAACATCCATGACTGGAGTACAAATGCACGTATTCATCACCACCGGGATTCAAACCCGGAACCTCTCGAGTCGGCGACACCATGAAACCCGGCGTATAAACCACACGGCCACGGAGGTCGTCTATCTAATTAATTGATTTTGTATTTATACTCTGAGAATATATTTTATGACATAAGTAACGTTGTTAAAAAAATTTCGCCTGTTTTTCTATGCAGCAAAATAATCTCCTTAACTTGTGCAAAAATTTGGACGATACAAAAGAGTTGTATTATGCTGCCAATTTGAATGAACACTTTTCGACTTTGATTTTGATTCCGGTTTCTAGCAGGGAGTAAAATAATGTTGGGCACATTTTCATACGGCATCTTAACAAATGAACTCGACACTTGCTTAAAATAAGGTGGGACGGGGTACTTTATGCACCTCGTTAAATAAGTCGCCATTCGTGTCCGAGCTAGAAATCGCAACAGGCGTTTACTTACAAAGTACATTATCATCGGCGTTTTCACTATTTGTTGTTTAAATACATTCATATAAGCTAAAATTTCACATTCTTAACTGGTTTTGATTTTAAGATGACTCCATAACAAAAATAGTCTAAAATGCCATCTTTGAAGACCCTCCATTCCTTTGTTATTGAAAATAAAATAATAAACATTATTGTATGCCTCTAGACAATTATAAAGAGTCACATGCTGGGGTAAAAAGTAAAAAAATGTAATGTAATGTAATAAATGTAATGTGAGCCGTCACGGGACGCCTGGTAAATGTGAAACTTCGACATTATTATGTAAAAGTGTGGCGGCATGTATAGTATTTATATTTATTTATTAAAACCACATATAAAATTATTTATTACATTATAACTTACACAACTAATACGGACTTATAAATTACTTACATCTAAATACTTATGCTAACATATTACATAAAAATATATTATATACAATATCTTATAAACTAAATATTTACATAACTTAACTATATACTATACGAAGAGCGTAGTATCAACGACGCGCAAGTATAGCTTCCGCGCTGTACGAGCAGTCTTAGCGCATCCTTTTGTTTCCAATTTTTTGTGCGATCTATTGAATGCAAGCTATCGATAGACGTTGCAGATCGCCAGTGATAAACTGACCACGACGCGGAGCGCACGCCGCTCATACGCACGCATCTATACTTCGTCTGCTCGCGCGCCGATATTTAATACGAAACCTCTTTTCATTTTGCTACTCCTTCTGATTATACCCGTGGTAGGAAACTGCCACCATCGCCTAACTAAGGAACCCCTACAAAAGTAATATGCAGAAAAGAACAAATTGCGATAGGAACTAAATATGGCATAATGATAAAATATTTTTTTAAAATAAACATTTATTTTCATTAAATACAAAAATCTAATTCGATTGATTCTAAAAGGTTTCATTTCATTTTATTGCGTATGGCGACGCGTCGCCAGACCGTACACATTACTGCATATAGACTGTATATATATACCATCATAGAGCGTGGCAACGCGTCGCCGCGCCAGAAATCGGTTTTACGTGCGCCTATAGATGTTTCACATTAAAAATAATTCGTCTCCTTTTCATGTATAACAATGAAAAATAAATTTACCTAATTGAATTTTTATCTAAATATTCGGCTTTAAACAAACATTCCACATAAAATACTAAGATCAACATCTAAAGACCCGTGACATACGGACAGACTCAACAACAGGCACACAGACGACAGAGTGTCAGCAATAATGTTGCCGACCTTTTTTGATAGATTAGTTTTTATAGTTTTTTGAAGCGTTTTTAAATTATTTCATATATATGAGTTTTGCAATCAAAATTGTTACTGTGTTCTCGTAGTCTTTTTCTGTCATCTGCTTTAATATTATTTTGTGTATTACTTTAAAATAGTGTTAATAAACCCAATGCGTCCAAAATCCTAGCCTTCATTTTCCATCCCATTAGCTCTCCGCTTCAAATAGGCTTCCGTTTCTACCTTTTGGAACTGAACCGGGTTTCCGGAACCCTTAAAACCAACGGAAACGATGTTTACCCTTTTTTATTACTTTCCGACAAGGACACGGAAATGTTGCGCCTATTATCTTTTTTAATACCTCCCGAGGACGCGGAAGCGAAGTGATCGCATCATCTGCACCACTTAAACGGCTCGTGAGCAAGACAAAGGGGGCGGGCGTGATAAACGACACGGGGATGAGTGGTTGAAAAATGTTTCGTGTAAATTAAAAGGTGACTGGTGGTGGGAATGATGGATGCTGCGCCGCAGAGATCTGCGGCCAGGGGAGAGGTGATACGCGATTTCCGAGATCTTTACGAGATTGCCCTTTCCCTGTTAATGTGGGATCCCTTTTCTGGCACTATCGGGTGCCTACTTACGCTTATCCTTATCTATTCAGAGAAGTTTATGCATGTGGGCTCAGATTTGAGATAACGTTGGAAGCATAAATTGGAATATTCCATCTACTGCAAGTTTTATTACACCGCCGAGATTTCGACTGTTTTGAACATATACATATATTCCATGTAAACAGGAGATCCATAAATTAATAGTTGATTGCTGACATTGCCGGCGAGAACTCGCTCCACCATGCATCTCCTTTTGTTTACACGGTATGTATATCTATTGTATGTTTCTTGAGCGAGAAAATAGCCGATAGTTAGTTGCTTTCTCGCCGGCCGTCGTACAACTGCCTTAGGAAAACTTTACTAGAAAAAATCCCAAAGAGCAGACGGTACTCGAACCTGCACCCTCCACTATCCATGTGGATGCACTGACCATTAAGCGATGGCCGTGTCGAATTCTTTCTAGTATTTCTTAGGGTGCAAAGCAGTGCCATTTCTCAATTGACATTGTGGGCTACCTACAATAGCCCACAATGTCAAATGAATACCTTTAGATACAAGTATTACCCGGTACCCGTGGAATGTTTTTTCTTGTTTGTAAAAATATTAAGCTGTACCCCGCGGAGTTACCCGCGGTTTATTAGGGATATTTTCCCGCAGTAAAACGTAACGTGTTAATCCAGGGTGTCAGCTAACTCCATACCAAACTTAATAAAAATCGCTCCAGTCGTTTAGGCGTGAAGAAGTAACAAACATACACACTCACAAACTTTCGCCTTTATAATATTAGTGTGATTATAGTTCAAAATCCCTTCATTACAAACTGGTGTCGGGTTTTTCGTTCGTGCAACGATTATCGCAAACTGTCATATTTAATAATTCGTTCGCAAGTCACCGGTTAAAAGTGGAAATGTAATAAGGAAACGGATCGCGTGATGGCGGGTTATTACCGCATTGCGATATCCGCTCCGGAATTATTTAAGTTGGACTCTTTCGTTGGCAGATATTGATTCAGAGGGATGATACCGTCGTTCTGCTTTATTTCATAAACTCAGTGCAACATTTTATAGGTTTGGAGGTAGCTACAGTCACTTTCTTGGATTTGGAACCCGTCTAAGGTTGAATGAACCAACAGCAAAAAGGCATTTTAAGAGATATATTTTGACCAAAGACATTGCTATAATAACGTTTATCAATATATAAAGAAATGTATATATATTATATATATTTGAGAAATTATACAAAGATTTCATTTTAACATTGTAAACATGTGATTTGATTACATTCTTTCGTATTGTCAATAAAAATTCATAGAACGTCACTGACTCATCGAAAAAATTTAAAACGACACCCTCAGCAAGGAGGTTAATATTCAGAAATTACTCATAATTCGAAAAAAATCGAATGATTCGAACGAAAAACCCTACACCATGACGTTTTAACGGTACATTAATCGGTGGTTTCGACTTTAATGCAATAGAAATTTTTAAAGCACATTTCAAGTTAAGCGAAGCGTCTAAACAACAAATATATTCTCTAGAGATGAAGACATCGGTGTTACATACAGCAGCAGTGCTATTTTGTAAAATTTTCACGCGCGATCCGGTGTGGATCCGCGCGGTTCCAATATAAATCCAATCCAAAATTTTACATAATAGTACAGCAGTTAGTGGATGACGCGATTTCTCTGCAACTTCCGCAATTAACGATATTTTTTAACAGATTTAGGAAAGAAGGAGGAATAAACAATGCTTAGGTAACATCTTTCATTATACTATAATTGTATTTTTGCTGTATAACACCAAGATTGTTATTAAATATCTATAAAAATCCAGTGTATTTAAGTAAACACTGTAAGTACTTACATTTTATGAAACGAACAAATGCGAAACCTATGGTATTATTCCATTTAGATGTTATCACATATAGGATTTTCTGTGAGAGTTAATGTGTTAAGTTATAATGGAGGAACGCTTGGAAAGTAACTTACACTTTATGCTCTGAAGGAGAATCTTAAGTTAATGATTGAACGTATGAATATTGTGTATTATGTGTGTTACTCTTTTTTTTTGCGCGTGTGGTTTTCGATAATGTTTTTTTGTGTTCAAAGTTTCGCAAACAAAAGTATGTCCTGCCTGATGTTAAGCGGCTAACATACCCTAAAGATGTTTGGGAAATCAAAGATATCACTCGCGCCGTTGTCTACTCTCACCCAATCCTCTAGCCCGCGGTACCCTGAATCACGGAAAATCTGTGGTCAATATTTACAGAGTTATCCGCAAATTTACCACCGTTGGTCATACGAGGGATGCATGGCAATTTTTCCAGAGTGTGTTTATTACAAAACCTTCCATTCTTTATATCGGCATGCAATTTCAAAACACGGAATTGCCCTTTAATTTTGTTCAGGTTTTCAGAATCCTATGATCATCGTGGGGCGCTGCGGAGTGCATGCCATCAATTATTACAGCTTTAATTTGTTTAAACGTCCGTATATTACAATGGCATGCAGTATACTAGCACGGAAAAAGACGAAAATCTGCTACACAAAGAAAAGCGCTTTTCCTTATGAAGAGGACGCGCGGGTGGGGGGGGGGGGGGGGCAAAACCCCGACTATCATTGATCATTTCGTGCTTTAGAAGTCACGCTTTATGATGTTGATCTTGATTGTAGATGTAGTACCAGGTAACGAAGAACTTTTAATGTCATAATATTACTATGCATATCAGTGGATGGCATAAACTTAAACGAAGTTTGGTGACTCACTTCTTTATCGTACTATTCGTAAGTGGAATTATTTACCCGCGCACGTGTTTCCTCCTTCCTATAATCTGGGGTCCTTTAAGAGAGGCGTGAAGACTCATTTTTGCAGGCCGGCAAGGTGAGGATGGTGAGGTGGTGTGGCAGTTTATAACTGCTGTACCAGCTATCTTCGTGTTTGGACTTTATCACCACTTAACATCAGGCCCCACCTGAGTCATTTTCCTACCTCGCTTTAAAAAAAAACTTCATTTCCATTTTTTTACATTTACACTCACTCATTTAGCAGACATTCAAACGCATAATTTTGTATGTCAGATCATCTTTAGGCATAAATTAAATATTAATAATAATTAAAAAAACAAAACCATCTTCTCGTTCACAATCAGAATTGTCTTATAGCATACAAAAAAATACTATTCCTTGTTCGTTTATCTACTATCTATGGTCAATGCCAGCCGGCACGCTCGCTTCGCTCGCTCGACTCGCCCCAAGATTAGGTAACAACACTTATCTAAGTTTACCCATTAACCACAATTACCGATTATGCTTAGCGAAATTATGCCGAACAAAATGTTGCCAAAGGTAATTTATGCTAAATTAAAAATTTGCCACTATAAAAGTTTGTTTCTTAGGTTTTCACGCACATCACTCATTAAATAAAACTAGTTTTCACGGGTTAATGCACGAAACTTTATTTAATTATTGACGTTTCGCAGCCTTTTCAGGTCTGCATCGTCAGAATAATGATTTTAATATTTTTTTAGATTTTAAAAATTAAATGTGTTTTTATTTAAAATTGTCGAGCTACCTTCGAAGGTAGCGAAAAATGCGTCTTATTGTTATTTTTCATTTATTTCATTTCATTACATTTCATATGCAAAAGAATAACAAAATAGATAAATTGCACGAAAATGAAAGGCCGTAGAAACTGGAAAAGCAAAAAATATACACTAAGTCCATTTCGATAAGAATAAACATCGAAAAAAATATAAAAGCATATATATACGGGGCGTCCCACGGCTACCTCACACGGAGGGAAAGTATATTAAACATTGATGAGAAGATATTTTACTGAAAGAAAACATCATTTTATTTTGAATAATAAGTAGAACTGCATTCACAGATTTTTTTAAAATCGCCTGCTACAACTGGGAATCGAACTCGTAAAATTTCGAAAAAAAATACACGGCATATTTTATGATAGCCATCGAAAGGGTTAATCATAAGGATTATTTTTTGCTAAATAACATAGCATTTAAATGAAAGAAAAGTAATTAAATTTAACATTTTATTTAAAATTATTTAACACAAACTAATATAAAAGCGGATACGCTCAATGTAAGTTAAAATGTTGAGTTCATCATCGTAGACGTTTATCATCCGCTGCTGTGGTTTCTGTAAGCGCATATCAAAACTCCCTAAATTCCTTGAAGTATCCACTAGCCACATAAGGTAAACACATATCGAGAAAGTACGTCTCTATCAGGATATCTTTCGCGGTACTACCGCAAAGCTAATATGTCTTTGTGGGTCATAAAGTTATCTTCCATTAAATCCATTTTATTTTGATACGCCATGGTAAGTAAATTAACAAAAAAAAAAAATGCAAATAAACGAAAATGAAACTCACAAAAACAAAAGAACAGACGCTTGAAAATTTATGTGTTCCATTTTTGAATTATTATTTTTATAAATTTCAGCCAATTGCATTGTAACTGTGAGTTCAAAAAGAAATGCATACGTACTACAGTTTGTTTAACACTTTATTATTTTTATCACGTAATAAGACATTCCTTTCATTTAAAATGCTATGTTATTTAGCAAAAAATAATCCTTATGTTTAACCCTTTTGATGGTTATCATAAAATATGTTGTGTTTTATTTTTCGAAATTTCACGAGTTTGATTCCCAGTTGTAGCACGCTATTTTTAAAAAATCTGTAAATGCAGTTTTAGTTATTATTAAAAATAAAATGAGAAAATAAAAAACCCTATCTCCAATATTTAATATACTTTCCCTCCGTGTGAGGTAGCCGTGGGACGCCCTGTATACTAGCTGACCCAGCGAACTTCGTACCGCCATAAAAAAATAGGGGTTGGTGGTAGAAGGGCGAAAATTTTGGGTTATATTTATTAAGGTATGATGTATCATAAAAAAATTTAAAAAAAATATCTTAAATTGAAAAAAAAATTAGGGGTGGATTAATTAATTAATTTACCCTTAACATTTAGGGGGATGAAAAATAGATGTTGTCTGATTCTCAGACCTACTGAATATGCATATAAAATTTCACGAAAATCGGTCGCGCCGTTTCGGAGGAGCTTAACCACAAACACCG